CAAAACTCTACAGTTTTCGTCCGGAAAATTTAAGATGCGAAATAAATAAAAAAAATGTATGACAAAGATTAAATTATTTGTTAAGAATATACCACGAGAAGAGATACATAGACAAATATAAATTTAAATACTTACTTCCACGATTGTGGATATATATTGTGTATTGATTTGTTTGTAGTCTGGAATCCTTATAATTAACATCTCTATATCCATTGATTGTTTGATTTATTTATATTATGTCCAAATGTGTCCAGTTCAAAGTTATGTTTTTATCTATACTTAGTATTCATTCAATACATTAGTTTATTTCGATTCTTCATATTCTGTTTGAATATGTTCCTTTTAAACTTATATTCTTATCTATATCTAGTACTTATTTCCATAGATTTATTAGTTTCATTCGTTTATATTCTTTTTAAATGTAGCTATTTTGCATTTCTATCTTAGTATTTAATTTAAAGCATGAATCTCATTCAATGTCAGATTCAGTATTTTCATTCCTTACACACAGGCAGATCATTTTGCCTCGTGAGATGTATTTTATTTGTTCACTGTTCATGTCTACATGTACATGTATATTTACTGTAAACAATCTTAAGAAAGTGAATAAATACATATTATTATTATTATTAAACATTTGCGTCCCACTCCACAGTCGATTTTCTAGGAAAGGAACCACCCACTATCCCCACACTAGAATTCAAAATGCCGGAAATTACTCTTTGAAAATGCCTAGTCAAGCGAATTTTGAAACAACTCAATATCAATAAGGCGCCTGGTCCTGATGAAGTGCCCGCCATTGTACTTGAAATGTGCGCAAATGAACTCGCACCAGTATTTTGCAGACTTTTCAACCTGTCTCATAAAGGAGGGGTTTTTCCTTCTTCTTGGAAAATTTCTCCACATAACTATAGACCAGTTTGATTTGCTATTAGTGATATCAAAACCACGGAGAAAGCTGCAAACCACCATATCCTTAAATATTTGGAATTTCAAAAACTACACCTCACGATTCGATCTCCACAAACTTCATTTGAAAAATGTTTCGCTAGCACAGTAGCTTTTTCAGCTGATTTATAAATCACTTGAAAATCACTTGAAAAAGCTATTGTGCTAGCGAAACATGTGATATATTTGTTGTGATTAATACAAACATCAATGTCGTCCGGTAACTTTCCAAATATGTTGAAAAAAAGTACACAGTTATTCCCATCCCAAAAATAAATAATTCATTTGAAATGTCAGACTTCAGAGCAATGGATACTTTGCCGGTTATTGAGAAAGTTTTGGAAATTGTTGTACATGAACAAATTACTAGGTACTTTACTGAAAATAACCTGTTTATAGGAAATCAATCCGGATTTAAAGAACACCACTCATGTGAAACTGCCCTTCAATTAACAGTTTCAAAATGGAAGAATGAAATCGATAGTAATGAATTTATAGTAGCAAGTAGCAGTGTTCCTTGATTTCAAGAGGACATTTGAAACTATCGATAGGCAAATATTACTTCGTAAACTGAGATATTATGGAATCGATGGAATAGCCTTAAGTGGGTTCAAAAATTATCTCAATGGCAGGTCACAAATAACTAGAGTGGGGAAATGTTTCTCAAATGAAATTTCAAACAATATTGGCGTACCTCAAGGGAGTGTCCTGGTACCACTGCTGTTTATAATTTACCTGAATGATGTAAATTATATACAAGATTATGATTTTTTGAATTTATTTGTAGATGAAACGTTACTTGCATGGTATGGACATGACGCTGTAGAAATAGTTGATTGTTGAAAAAAATTGAAACATATTCAAACGATAATATACTGAAAATTATTGCGAATAAAACCAAATCAGTGATAATAAGTAAGAAACATAAACTGAAATCAATTGATTATGAAAAGCTTCAACTCGAAGTGGAGGGAGACAAAATTGAATGGGTGTCATAATTCAAGTATTTGGGCTTCGTGTTGGATGAATCACTAACACTCAATGCACACTGTGACTATATTTGTAAAAAGATATCAAAAAAACTATTTTTTTTCTCCAGGATTTCATCGGAAGTTTCCATGTTTTCAAAAATAACAATATACAGAACCATTATACAGCCCTATTTTGATTATTGTTCCACTCTGCTTCATCTTTCAGATAAAAACAATATACAGAAGGCACAGAAACTGCAAAATCGAGGTTTAAGAATCATCTTAAAATGGAATAGATACACTCCCATTCAATACATGCTGAGTACCCTCAAGTGGTATGATGTGGCAGATAGACTGTATTACTCAAGTAAGATATTATTTATTACCAAAATATTTTGATTCCTTCATTACGTACAATAATCAAATTCATGACTACAACACAAGAACCACCAATCAATTCCACATTTCCAGGAAAAAACAAAGCAATCTATGAAATCGTTGTTTTTCAGAGGATTGACTGATTTCAACCAATTACCATACCACATTAAAGATTCTGTTACTTTATATTCATTCAAGGCTCAGTTGAAAATATATATTACATCACGTACTCTATGAATTTTCTGAATTTCTTTTTTAATTTTTATGTTTCACATCATCGAATTGTTGTATTGGTTCGAGCTTTTATGTGTTCTGTATACATTGTGTTACATCGTGTTACATAGTGATATGTTAAATATTTCATTACCTACTCACTCGAATAATTGTTTTTATGCCCTAGTATAATTGTAATATGGAGCTAACTATTCTGAATACTCCTGATTTGTTCTGTGTTATGGGACAATATTATTAGGAACACATTTCTATTTCTAGCTTTTTAGCTTCAACCTTCCTTTTCCAACAAATTTAAATGTTTGATTTAACTCAAAGTTTATTTTTTACTTTCGAGAGGATGTGAATGAGAACTTGTTTTCAAAAATGTTTTCTGCTATTACTTTTATTGAACTAGGCCTATTTGAAACCTACTCAAAATAGCACAGTTATTCAGTAATATAACAGAATACGTAATCATTGAGTTATCGTTCGCAGATTTCTGTTTAATGCGCCCGAAAAACCAAACCTTACAAAGCAACATACTCCGTGATAACGGTGGAAGTCTGAACGTTATGTAAACTGCTGCGAGTGCTGAACTGTTTCAAGATTACATACATATTAAAGACATTCTCCCCAAACTAATTGTTTCTGCAAGGGGACCGTTGATACTGACACTTCTCGTCTCTTCTAATGGCGACAAGGTAAACTTGCACATAGTTTGTCCCGTGAGAGACCACGACGAGGTTTGCCGTGTTATATTCGCTTTCGTCGAACACAATTTTCAGTTGGAGAACTTGTGTTTTATTTTATTTCGTCTTGATCAAAGCGACATGATTTGGGTTGTTATTCGGTGTGATTGATATTTCAGAAGTTTGTAACGAAGTGAACATAAAATATGAGAGAAATCCCTCACGCTTTTGGGAACTATCCTCCAATGAATTATAAAAAAAAACTTATTATTTTTGGGAAAACAACAAGGCTAGAACAAGCAAAAACAAGGCTAGAAAGAAGGAGATTACTGAAAATGATATCGTTGAAGCTCCTACAAAAAATTTGGGTTTTGAAAAAAAATGTGTCATGAACTACTTGTAGTTCATGATACATGACCAACGCAAAAGAAAACAAATAGAATTTTGAGCATAATGAAAGAGCTGGCTGGATCCTTCAACACAACTTGGAGTCTAAAAAAAAATAGTTCAGAATACAAACATGAGGCAATTCTTTGATGGGATATCTGAGTTAGTCCTAGGAACCCAAGTCTTCTGAATATGCTGTCTAAAATACACTACAACAGCAATAGATCGGTAAAATACAAATCGAAATATGTCAGCACCTCCAAGAAAAGCCTTACACGCTTTCAAAGTCTCACTTCATGGGCTCTCGAATGATTCGGCCAATTGAAATTGGGTCTGATAGAACCTAATAGATCTAATAAACAAGCGTAGCGAAAATGATTCAAATGGAATAATCTACTTGATATCAGTTTCGTCCTCAGAAGTTACAGGACAACATCCGATAGACGAAACAAAGTGTTTCTACTTCATCAAAATCATTTTTAAACGAAGGAAAACATGAAAAAATCCCATATGAGTGAGTCTCCAGTCTCACAAGAAGCAGAATGGAAGTTTTTTCTCTTCAAAAGTGGTCAGACTTGTCCTTTCCTTTCAAATCTCCGCAAAATCTCCTGGTGAGATGTCCTTGCATGTCCTTTTCCACCCATTACAATAATATTCTTTCTTGTGTTCGTTTCTACAGGTCAGTTTGCAATACACTTAATGACTGTATGTATTAGCTAAACTGCGGAAAATCATATATCAAATAGCGAACGAGAACGGATACAACCAAAAGACAATAGATAAATTAGAAAATAGAATCAAACAAAAAAAATATACAGAACAAGGATCAAACCACTCCAACAGATGAAACAACACAACGATGGACAGCATTTACGAACGTAGGTCACCAAACCAAAAAACTAACAAACATCTTCAAACCCCTGAACATCAACATCACATACAAGCCAAACACGAAAATAACACAAAAAATAAACAGTCATGGAAAAGAAGAAGACAAAATCCAAAAGGGTGGTACAGCATACAATGCTCGGACTGCAACAAATTAGAGCCTTCTTCATGACTCTACTCAAACTGAACGTTTTATCTTCTTGTTTATTTTTTTATGGCTAGAACGCCTCAGTGCAGGTATTTGTCCTCTCCTTTCATCCGGATGTCTCTTTAACTTGCCTTTGTGTTGGTGTTCCTCTAGGTTCTTTGTTTCTAGTTTGTTTCTAGGAATGTGTATTGCATTGTGTAGTTTATTGAATTTTAGACCTTGTTGTGTATTGATTTGTATTTGTTCCTCGATAAGTGAATTATGATTTTTGAATTTATGGATGTTTAGGTTAGTTATGGACATCTGTTGGACTTTTGTTCAATATCATTTCAAATATCAAATATCATCAATACATAATTTCATGTAAATTCGACTCACCTGCATTTTCATGGGATCGGTGTTTACTTGACACATATACTGGCCTCTGTCTTCTCTCTTGACGCCCCGTATATTCAACGTCCATGTGTTGAAATCGTTGTGGGTAACAGATAATCGTGCGTTGTTGGTAATAACGTGCTCGTGGATAGCTAATATTGCCTTGGTATCAGCCTTTATCCAAGCGACCTGATTCAAAATGAAATGTGAACAGTTGTGGTTAACAAGCCTTTATTCGATTATCGTCAATTTCAACGTGAGAGTGTTCATCCAACGAGTTCCTCAACCTTACTGTATTGATGTCCACAATTAAGGAATCGAAGAAAATGATATAGAAACGGATTTGCATTCTTAGAGGTGGTTCTGCACGTTTTCAAGCAAATTAAAATTTCTCCGAATGAAACTAAATGTTCATCTGATCTTTTTAAAAACTGGCAAATAGCAACAAAATGAAATAAAAAGGTGCGACACTGGGAAAGTAATCAGCAGAAGAATATAGTCCCTCTAACATTTTTTTTTCAAATATGTAATTCGACTTGAATATTTGATTATTGACTCAAACATTTGAGGATTTGATATGCCCAAATCCCTCCTATTACGTACAAATTTAATAAAATTCATAGCAAGTTGAAAACTATGGAACATAATTACAGTTTGCGACTTACTTTGAAAAGGATTACTCATCAGAGTTTCATTGAAGTTCAGAAAATTGACGTACTAATCAAAGAAGTATTAGAACTCTGTTTTTACATAAATATTTCCACCGACTGAATCCCTATATTACTGTCAAACATATTAGACAAAACAAAATTTTTTGTTCGTCTCGCATTTGTCGAAAAATTGCTAGTGCTTCCATCAGCAGCATATTTCAACAATAATTTTCATACAGAAATAAGTAGTTCTCTCTCTGAATATAATAATGTTTATTTCTTATCCAAATTGAGTTTATGATGAAAATCAAAAGGGTGAGTCTTTGCTTGAAAGGTAAACATGCATATACAATATTTGAATATTATTTTTTTCAAGAGGCCAAAGCTGAAACTGTTAATCTTTCTTGAAACAATTTCGCTACCACCAAATAAACGTTTGCATTGACCCTTGAGCTATATCAATTTCTTCAATATAATTCAGGAGTTTGGGTAGTATTTAAATTTCTAAATATCTTCCTCATATTGGAATGAGTTCAATGACAAAGAACGATTCATATCAAGAAAGGTGATAATTTGCATGATCCAAGAGTAAGAAATCAAAATTCTCACTAGTTTAGAGTAATATGAACTCCCAGACACTTTTTTTGATTTGGAACAGAAGAGTTCAAACTGTTGCTTCATGACCTGTCTTAGTACTACTGATGATATCCAAGGTACATCGAAACAGCACAGTTTTGGATTTCACTCAACATGATGCTGTATTAAAGAAACATTTTAATAATGTCCAAGCTACATTGTTCACTGGCGACTTATGAAAGTACTCACTAAAGAAAGATTCAAGAAGAGGGTCGAGTATTCGGTTCTTACTCAGAGAAGGAGCGATAGAACACATTGTATCATGGCAAAGATCGCATGTAGAACCAAGTGTATAGCACCTCATCTAAACCTTGGTTTCATAACGGAGTGCCTATATTTCAGTGAGGCCAACTTGAAATTATTCGATAAAAAAGGACTTCAACTAGGATAGGAGCAGTAGACATTTTACTGACGCCTTTATTCTACTCCGTACATCACTGAAGTCATTTGAACTGCTTGTAGACTGATGCTAGGGCAGAGAAGAGGATGTACCGAAGAAGATTGAAAGAAATTGTATTATTTAGACTGTACCTTCTAGAATTCCCTATGAAAATAAATTACCAAAGAGAAGGTCGTGGATTGACGAAGCACAGGTTACACTGTCCGTAGTAAAATGGGTGTGATGAAGGAAGGGGTACACACTGATTGGGAAATGATATCTGAAGTGAGAAATTTCGATTCTGTTATTCATATTTCAAACAGAGGTAAATTCACTACTCCTTGAGGCTAAACAGAATTGATTCAAAAAACGCTGTGCACCCATGAATAATTTTACGAATATTCTAACAAAAATTAGCATCGATAGAAATTCTTACTGGTATTATGGAATCAAAGCTTTTTTTCTATTCTTCGAATGTTGGCAGTATACTTTGTGAAAGCTCTGCTGCATAAAATAATTAAGAAAATAAGAATAATTGGAATGAGACCAACGAACTTTCACATGCAGAAGCATATTTTTAACATTAAATACCATAAGTGAGCAAATTGATCTGGCTGACTACATGAGGACTAAATGATACTTTTAGTCACTTATAGAAAAACAAAACACTTATGACAATGATGTTATGTTTTTGTACTCAAAAACACATTCTTTCATTACATTTTTGAGAATGATGTATCATTCTCTAGTTCCTAATTTTCTATATTTGAAAAAAAGTTAGTCAATATAAGAAATACATATGAATGTAAAACGTCTGACTTTACTACAAAAAACTATTGCTTCAATAAACAATGTCGTATCAAACCAGTAATCAAAAATATATAATCAACTCATTCATGGCATTTTCTATCTTTTTCTGGAGAAACAATGAGCCGTTAATGTTTTCGACAGCTGAATTGATTAATTTTAGCGTCTAACAGTATTGCCATTCTGAAGCAAGTAGGGATCCTATTCTTCCATTTTTTATTACAATGTGCATGGAACTCTCTTTAACGTTCGTAAAACAAATTACCACCAATCTTGTTCTTGTGATGTACTGTTTGGAATCTCTGGTGTAGTAATGAATATTAGTGAAATTTTATCCCAACACCAAACCGTTATTTCAAAACCTCGACACGTGTTTGGATCAACAAGTGATCATCTTCAAGACGCACTCAGTGAAACTGAGTTTGATCTTCCTCTTGAAGATGATCACTCGGTGATCGAAACACGTATCGAGGTGTTGGAATAACGGTATGGTGTTGGGAAAAAAACTCCAGTAATATTCACCAATCTTATTTTTCATTATGAATCCTCAAACGAAACAAAAATTCTATAATTGTACTACCCATATTCCTTGGATCGTTGTGAAGGACGACAGGCATCTACTGTGGACTCGAAACTACTTGAGGGAAGTGAAAGAACTCCTTTGTTTCTTATTCGCTCTTGTACATTTCCCTAGTTCAAAGAAAAACCTTTAGAACTGTCAAACAATGCAGTATAGGTTATTGACATAGTTAGGCATTTATAACTTTACAAAGGCAAATCAGAATTTCAAAATAGTAGATATTTGACATATACAATAATTTTTTTTGTTATATTTTACTTTCACAAAGCAACATTTTCATTTACTGAATTACGAAAATCAATGCAATATACGTGACAAGTTTCACTTGAAACTGGTTGCTTGTAACTTTCAGATAAATGAAAGTTTTTGAAAGTTATTTCCCGAAAGGGAAAAAATTACAAGTACGTAACTACTGATGGAAATCTACCACAAATGACTAGCTCTAAAAAATATCATATACGCATCATATATGATGTTATATAACTTTTCTGGATATGGTAAAATCTGTAACAGAAACTATATTATAAAAATAAATTGAACTTCGAGTCATTTTTACCAATTATGATATTTTTCCATATTATTATTGGATAAAAACTCACTTTGAAATTTGTTTGTGTCATTGAAAATTTCAAACCTATACTTGAAATAACTAGGAAGATGTGCAACAACTCCAGTCAACTATAGGGGTGGAAGGAATATTATAGTGGTATCATCAAGAAATACGTGAATCAGAAAATCTCTGGAAGTCCTCAGAAACAGCTGCAATTTTGATGATTCTGTTTTCAAATTCTTGTTTTTTGTTTTATTAGAAATCAGAAACCTTTTGGGGTGGTGACATAACTAGTCGAATGGTTGTGACAATATTTTTTTCGGAAAAAAACTGCATTAATTGATATAATAATGAAACATTAGATATTTATATAACTATGGCACCAACGTTGAACTATTTTTTGATGGATATAATGATGAGGTAACTGAAACGTCTGAAGGAAGTCGTAGAGATATACTTCAATCGATTGATTAGTTGATCGAAAAATACCTAGAAAAAAATTGAGAAAACAGGTTTATTCTAGGGAAAGATCATTGTAAATACCTTTCCAATCCCTGTTGGGTATTTACCAAGTTTTATCATCTAGAAGCAAACTGTGAATTCAGTATATCTCTGAAAAAATTTAAGCTAATGTATCGTAACTCATTCAAGTTATCGGTAGTTCTGGGAAAACAATTGAAACTTTCATCCGGAATTATTTCTTCAAGTGGTTCTTCAACCATGAAAGTTTCATTTCTTGCACGTAACTTCTGAAAATTAAATTTTTTGGTGAAACAATTCTTCAGAGGAAAATGATAAACCTATTTTCATTTTGTTTCCTAAAAACTTTTCTTAGCTGTATTTAGCGGTATTTATCTTTCAAATAGATAATTGTTGGAGCTATAGTTTCCACGTGAATATTCCATATGCTGTTATAACCATAATAATAAATATACGAATATTTCTTTCGACAAAAACTACGAATAACCGTTTTTTTCTATAGACTTGCTTGAATCATATATAAAAAGTACAGTTCGCGTTTGGATTTTTTTTTGATTTCATATGATATTAAAAACAAATTTGGAAAAAATTATTCAAAATCACAGCTGTTCCTGTGATCTTCCGGGGAAAAGGCTTCGTTGACTCGACAATTAATTCTAGTTCATTCTCCATCTGTGACAAACAAAGAAAACTGAATGAAGTTTTCTGAATTCTATTCACCACACTATTCTTTGCAACCCCATAATCGTTTCAATTATCTGTTATCAATAGACTACCAGATACGTTATCGTTCAAGTGACAGAACGCATTTGAAAATCTATTCCACTTATAATAGATTTAGTGAATATTTTTCTACCTGTAATGGAAAATCAACCAAACCAGCCAATCATTTTTTACCATCAAATTTCATTTTCGAGAAATAACTTTTGCGCAGTATTAGATATAGATAGTTGTTTTATTGTTGAATACAGAAAGCTGAAATTGGTATACAACTGGGGTATCAATATTTTTTGTAAATGACGAAATTTAATCTATCTGAGTCTATAATATGCAGGATTGGAAAAAATTAATTATGAAGATCCTATATATCACGAAAGACTTCGATTG